TCTAGTATACTTCATAAATTCATGGATTTTACAAGGCCAGAGAGAAAACCCACTGGATGCAAAGACAAGCTGGGCTGCAAGACAATTAAAAGCACAGCAATTCTGAAATACAGACAGCATTCTGGAAAGCACCAGCTCTCCTGGGATATACAATAATGCCCGTTTCTGTTCATTTACTTCCCAAATCTGATTCAAGAACACACGTGAAAGTGGGTACGTGTAGGAGTGAGATTTTCACAATATCCAGTACTGGCATATTTCAGCTTAAATGTATGGTAAACCTCACATTGAGTGCAGTGCAATCAAATAAAGGCATTGCCGATTTCTGAAAATCTTGAGCTAAAAACAAACATGAAAACAAATCTAAAATAATCATTTAGTGTCAGTGTATACCCAATACTTATGGGTGGCCCTGTCTTTTCTCACCATAAATGTTTAATCTCCTACCAGCTGAAGTTTCTCTTTTTCTTTCATAGAATGCTTGACATACAGATGCATTTATACAATGATATAAATGTACAGAAGTCTAGTAGGGGAAAGAAACTGCCACAGGCACTAGAGTTAACTTTATATTAGTACTCAAGTATCCATATGCATCTGGATACATATAAATATCCATATATATCCTATAAGTATCCATCTGCCACAATGTGAACACAGTTTAATATGCTCCTTGGTACGTGTTCAGCCTGTAATCTACTAGAGATGGAAAAAGGGAGGCTTGTCCTAGTGGAGAATTGACACTAGCCTAGAGTAACTGATTTGATGCCTTGGCTTTTGGGATGAGGGAGTCAAAACAACTGGACCATCTGAAGCATCACACATCCTGCAAGAACAAGTATCAGCTTAAACTGAAAACAGATGTGCATGCTTGCAAGACTACCGATCTTCTGAGTTAAAAAAAAAAGAGGAAAAGGTCATGATATCTGTTTTTTCTTCCTCAATTGCCACTCATTTGGTGTGTGACCTACATAATTTCTTTGTGCCTCTATTTCCAAATTCCCAAGTAAGAAATGCCATTATGCACAAACACCGTGTAATGGTGTGGTATATTTTGATCAAGACCTTTGGAGATCTCCTGAAGAGACAAGGTATTGTTCATAAAATAATTTGAGGTTTTCATGTAAAAAATACTAATATTATTGCTGATGAAACCAAAAGCTTATCTTTTTATGTATTCACTTTTCAAAATATTTACTTCTACTTTACCAGCCAGCCTTATGCAGTACATGTATTCTGAAATTGTGTAGTACTAAGAGGCAAAGTCTTCTGATTATATATATACACCATGAGCAAATTTAACACTGCCTCATACACTGGGTAGACACTTTGACCTTCAAGAGATGTCAATCAAGACAGAATTTATCAGTCCCTTTCTCTGCCCAAGTTTTCCACAGTCTTGCTCATGTGTTTTATAGTAATGCTTTCTTTTTCCCTGTTCATTAACTATTAAAATAAAATATTCACATGATAGATTTTTTGACTCAGTTTTCCCACAGCAATCATATTTCCTCACCCAAGAGGATGTCAGGAAGCTTCTTTAATTGTTTCTGAAACATTTACAGCTTTTCATGGAAAAGGTAAAGCATCTGTCTCCTAAAGGAGAAAAATCATTTCCAAACGGATGAAGCACCTCAGCTCCCCTCTGAAGCACACATGTATTCCTTCTCTCAGAAAGAATATGAGACACAGACATTATAATCGGTTCATCAAGTTCACACCTCCTAGATAAAGAACAGAACTTCTGTCTTTCCCCCTTTAGTTGCAGTCTTTAACCTCAAAGCAATGCTTCACTGTTGAAATACCTCTGGATTGGGTGACAGATCAGAGTGTATCTGAATTAAACAAGTCATCCAACAAGCAACAGGCTTGGCTCCCTTTTGGTTCGTGTTCTCCCCCTCCAAAACATCTCGGCTAGGACTGCTCCCTCCAGAGTTCCTTGTGCTTCCCTCTGGCCATTACCTGCAGCACCTCCAGCTCCCTCCCTCCTTTGCTAAGGGCAGGGCACCCAGAACACATGCTGAGGAGCACATCTGCCAGCTGCCAGGCCACTTTGTGAGTGATGTCCACCCCGCTGGCTGGACAACCCTTGCATGTATCTTGAGTGCGTGCTGCAGACTCTCCTGCAGGGCAGGAGGAAGTTTTGCCTCTTTCCTGCTTCTGATTTTCATGAAACTGGTAGGATTCAGTCTCCTGCCTCTGTCCTTCTGTCAAACATGCTTAGAACCAGATGGTTTCAAGTTAACAAAGGAGGACAGTAGTCACTTAAAATAAGGTATCTTCTCATTTAAGTGACTTAGCACTGTAAACACTGCTGTCACTTCATTTGTATTTTTCTGGACTCACGATCTGTTGTTAAGAGTTGTTGCATTCCACAGTGGCTATCCCATGTAAAATAGAAGCCTGCTTACAGCACAGAGAATTTACCTCCTGGCAGCTCACTTGTGCTCATCTTACATGAGAGTTGCTTTCACTTTTTTTAAAAACAAACAAACAAACAAAAATTTAAGAGCTGAGTGGAGGAGGAATGGAATTTCCAAAGAGGTTGTAGGATTTGTAAAGAAAAAAGCCAGAGCTAAATGTATCCACTGTTGATGCTAATAGTTGAACACACTAAAAAAGTAAAAAAAAAAAAAAAAAAAAAAAAAAAAAAGACCTTAAACTTTAAAACATATCACACACTATGAGGGATGGCTGCCACTGATTTAGAGATCACAGCATCTCTTTCCAGAAGGTGCATTTGTTTTCTTCCTCTGTATGTATGTATTAGGATGGAACTGTATTTTAAAACCAGGTTAAACTGCTACTATGAAAATGACAGGTTAGGAATGAGCTCCACATGTGTACTGAAAAAGTTCTCTGCTGCAAACAGAAAAATGGGGGCTGATGCTCGGAAGAGATTAGGGACATCTCAGGAGCTGATAAAGGAAAAACAGCAGAAAGCTATGTTCTCACAACAGGAAGCCGTGGGAAGCTCGGGGAGGATACTGAGCCACTGTTTGCTAAGGACTTGAATTAATGTACTACAGCTCTGTAATGATCAACCCCACTGAACAAATCCTGACTGGGATCCTCTGAAGGAATGAATTGCATCAGCTTACAGGCTTGACACCAAGAAGGTATCATATGAATAGTACTCTGCCCTCATAATGCAGGTCCTGAAGTTCAGCCTCCTATGTGCAAACCAGACAAATTGTATATAAAAAAAAGATCTACCGGGTTTCATTCATTCTGGCTGAGATTTCCTTATCTAATTACAGCCCTGCAGTGACCCACTGCAGTACAGACTCCCTGCACAGCAGAGTGCTTCAGTTCCTCTCCCATCCTGTAGTCCTTGTGCCAGGCATAGCTTGACAGCTTGTTCTCCTGTCTGCTAAGCATATTGCTTGCATCTATTGCCCAGAGCATGAGAAAGCCATGGCCCTGTTCTGTGCTCAAATATCTTCATACTCAAAGTCCTTGCAGAAGTAGTGCTCACTGTATCAGCATAAGGCTGTGGATTCTATGATCCTCAGCTGCCATGGAGCTGCTCACATGCTGACTCCTTGGCTATCCTGGCCCATTACTTAATTTTCTAGCCCCTCTAGAATGAGACGCCAATGCATTGGTCTCATGTTTTGAGCCCAAAAGCAAACAGTACATTTGGGGAGCCTTGGACTTATTTCAAAATAGATGAAGTCCTTTTCCAAAAGAAACAGGAACATTAAAGCCTTTGTAATGGAAACAGTGAGACATGGACTTCAGACTGATCAAGCTGAAGCAATCTTCAAGGCAATCTTTTGTCACAAACAAGAAATGTTTTCACTCCCCTCCCCTTAGCAGACCCCTATGATATATTTTATTTCCTTTGCAACTGGCATCAACTCATTTTCCAAAGTCAAATACATCTACCTTCCCTGCTTCTCTCTCTTGGGACTCTTTGAAAGAGAGGGAAAACATCAAGACTAGACTGTGTTGTGGGATTTAACATGTCAGGAGAGAAACAACAAAGAACACAATTACAGGAATGATTTATAGTACAAAATAAACTTGGAAAAGAGTGAGCAAAAACAGCACAGACCCATCATCTGAGCTATAGCAGCAGAGATCCTTGCATAAATTCCCCTATAATTTGCCTCATCGCAATCACTTGGTTTAGAATTCAGCTGAACTCCGATTCAGCACTGTCTATCACTCGCATTCATAAAACCAATGCTGCTTTGAGATATACTGCTTGATCATAAAAAGATTTCCTTCCCCGACTCTCTGCCAGCACAAAAATCCCAGGTAAATATGCCACATGATATCACCTCCTCATAGCACTTAGAGCTGTGAGTCGTGCCCAGTCACCATTTATCCCTTGAAGTGCTGTGTTGAGAGGACTGATTCATCACCATATCCTTTACTTCTAAGAGTACTGAGTAGAGTTTCCTTGGTAGTAGCATCCATTTTGTCTACCCGATTTCTGCTTTTCTTGGAATTTCATGAGATCACATCAATTTTGTCTCACAGGAGAGTACATGCACTGGTACAAGGGGAAAAATCAGTGTCAAATGAATAAATGACTTCATCAAAGGACACTATCACTGCCTGGCATCTACATACATCTCAGATGTCATCACGTAATGCTGTCAAAACTCAAGCAGTTTTGGACAGCAGCTCTCATTCTGTCACTGGTATCTCCCTAATAGGGTGCTTGTGGCATCTCTCTGAGTTTCTTGGACCATTTATACAACATTCTGAGTACAATCCAAAATGAATCCATTCTTCTGCTATCTTTCAAAGCTCCTGCCTGTTACTGGCCACCTTTCACTTCCAAGGTTAAAGAAACTTGTTCGAACTTATGTCAGCTTGAATTTTCTGTTACTCCACAGTGCAGGGATTGCATAGTAACACAAGCAGTGCTTTAAATATGCAGAAAAGAAGTAACACCTTTGTAATGAAAAGGTGAGCCTTCTAGAGAGTGGGGTCACTCTCTAGCAACAATGTGCAAAGAAATGCTAAGCCTCATTACTACTCACAGCTATAGGGAGATCTCCTTCAGCTCAGTCGATAATTGTGTGGAACGAAAGGACCAGGACCACGAAGGTAATTTGTCTGAAAATAGGAACAGGAGAGAAATCTTTTCTCTAACAGTTTCATATATTTGCAGTTGGCTATAGTATTCTCCAGTCAACACTCCCACCTTTTACACAAAAGCAGAAAAAAGCTCCCCATTACTTTCTTTTCTATCAACTGCTCAGAAAGTTTTCATTTTAACTTTTCAAAATGTTTTATAGGTATTATGACTTGTTTTTCCAAGTTTTATAAATGTTGTTCCAACCTGATGACTAATGGAAAAACCTTTTTATGGAAAAACTGTGAATATGACATAACAGATTTTGTAACTCTAAGAAAAACTTCTGTATCGGATAATTTATCTATAATACTTTCTCATACCTGTATTCATTGCTTTTAAAAATGTGACTGGAATTACTGTGTTTTTTTTTCCTAATAGACCAAATACAGAAACACTTTCATTGCAACCTAAAATTTAAAGACTTCGATGCCTGGGCAGTAAGGATTGTGCTCATTATTTGCCCTACCTTAATTTTCTTTACTAGCTAAAATTCTGAATAGTTATCCTCTTGGTTTCCCACACCTTATTTTTGCCATGAATTAAAAGACCTTATTTTCTAGTAATCATATCTGAAAGTTAGTAGTTCAGATCTCTATCTTTTCCTCCACCAGCAATGTAACAATCATTTTATCACCTTGTACAAACTGCTTGCTTTTGCAAGGATAACTCTACTGATTTTTAGGGAAAGGCAACACCACTTCAAAGTCCTCTGGTATTCCAAGATTGAGTGCATTTAAAGTCACCTGTGACAATGAAGGACTCCCAGTCCTGCACTACGGCACTGATTCAGTAAGCACACACCACAGATTTCAGATGGACAACTCAAGCTTAAAATCACAAAATTTTATTAATGATATTATTAGTAATGCTGTATTTAGATTCCTTAGCCATTGTCATTCTAAATTGGGATTTATGGTAGTATGAACAAAAACGCAAATAAAATGCATCTGAAGTTATCAATAGCTCAGAGAAGCCCACTATTGTCAAAATATATAGAACTGAAAAAGTGTGGGCATAGCTCCTTAACCACTGGTATGCTGGCTCTCTCATATTAAACCTGTAAGAAGAGGGAAAGATGACTAGAAAGAGGTATTGGTAGTGGTGTGATTTTTCCTAATGACCTACACGTGTTGTTTTGCTTGATGCATTAAACACGTTTTGGAAACCCATTTTGAGCCACTTCAGTATTCAGCATTTCAGCAGTAATACACCTTTCCTTTTTCATCTTTTCCTATACAAAGTTTTGCTTTGGTGTGGGAAACAGACCTTAGGAATGTTGTGCAAATTACTCAGCAGGTCAATGACCACAAGAATTCAGTGCAGTCTCTACCTTTCAGCACTCTGCTTTAGCCATGAAACTTACCCTCTTAGCAATGAATTGCTATTTTTGGCATACAAATGCTTTCCCTGCATCATCTACCATAAATACAATTTTAAAATGTATGCATTTGGACTCTTTGAGTTCACTCTTTCATTGTTTCTCTTTTTTTTTTTTTTTTTTTCTCCTGATTTTTATGGGAAATACAAATTCTTGGCACTGCAGAAGCTGAATTGGTAGCTGCACCTGTTAGCTCTGTGATATCTCAGGGCTCTCTAGTTAGTCACCTGCTTTTTGAAACCCATGTTATCTCTTGGACAAGTGAGAAGGCACTGAAGTATGCTTTATCACCTTCATGACAAATATGACCATCTATATCATATTAAAATGTACCAGGTCAGTCAGAATTTTTAATAAGGAAAAGAAAAATCAGGTGAAAGACAGGAGGTGGCAAGAAGAGAATGGAAAAGAGGTGAGTGAAGTGAAAGGAATAGGAATAAAACTCACTTGCTTCAAGCCAGAGTCAACTTGATACGTTCTCCCAGGGACTTCTTAATACATATTTCTATAACATGCCTCTATACATCTGCAGAAATAAAAAGATAAAATTTGAGAATCCAACCTGGAAAAAGCTTGATCCAGATATTTTAATGTGATTGCTGGTCTTGAATTGGTGCATAAAATTTATCTCTTTCAAACAAATGAAGACTCTGCGTGCCTTCCTAGGAACAGTCCCAGGCTTTGACTGTGTTTTCCAGGAAGGGTAGACCAATGCCTGATTCATACTTCCACTATATCACAATTGTGCTATTGTTTGGCATCCTCTCATCTCTTCCACGTCAGTTGCAGATGGTCTAGAAGCCACAGAACAAGCTGTACTTCCTTTAGATGTCAGCCATCACCATCTTGTGGAATCCTTCCAGTTTACAATACACAAGGTACAATGATCCTTCTCCACAGATCTCTCTTTTGACTTTAAAAAACTTTTCACAGGATTCTGTAGTTAACCTTTCCTAATATCAGAGATAAAGAAATAACTCGCCTTGCTTTCATCTTGTAACATATGATCAGTTCACAGCACTCATCTCAGACATAGGAAACAGAAATTTTGGGGATCACTCAGCACCTCATACAGACTCCAAAGGAAATTCTTTGAAGAATACTATAAATGCTGATATGTAAGTTAGTGCTATGCCATCCCTCCGGATTTTGCTGTCAACCCTGATCACCTTTCCTCAAATATGATGTAAAAGAAACAAAAAGGGTTCAGAGTAAAAAGACTCATTAAAATCCCCAAGAGCTTTCCGTATGCAAAAAGTTTAGATAGCTTCGAACTGGCAGAGAAAATGAAAAAGACTGAACAGAGGAGATGTGATATAAATATAACTGCATAGAGAAAAGAAAGTAAGTCTGACCAATCAAGAAAAGAGGAAACAGACATTAAAACTAAAAGATAAAACTTTAAAACGAATAAAAGGATTATTATTTTTTATCCACATAATATATAATTAACTTGCAGGACTCTGCACCAAGACATCACAAGGGCCAAGAGGTTCTGAGAGTTTAAAAAGAACTGATTATTGCCATAATAACAATAATAGAGAACCATTACAAAAATGATAAACATAATTACAGAAATAACTGGCATAGTAGTCAACAAACAGAATATCTACAATTGTGTACAATGAAGTATGAGGACTGAAAACTGTGTTTAAAGACATAAGCCAACTTCAGTTTGATGCAAACTAAGGAGAAACCACCCCCATGGGAAAGGTTAAATCACTGTTACTCCTCACCGGGAACTTAGCAATTTGTTCTTGAGGGACCAGATATTGGGTTCTGTAATGCTTACAGCGTGGTGAGGCTAAGAGCTCATCAGTCAAGTGTTCAGCTGGGATACCCCGTAGCATAGGGCTGGCACAACTAAGATCACAGCTCTGTAAAAGAGAATACATTTCTGCTCTTCGTGGGTACTATTTTTATTTACTTGTGGAAAGTGAGATAGTTTTGGCCATTCCTTTTAATGTGCATCATGAAGTGGGGGCAGAAAGGAAGAACAGTTTGTAGACATGACAAAAAATGCTAATGATACTGTTTTGTTATTTGGTGATTAAGATGTGAAAAAGAACCATATAAGACAGAGATATTCCTAACCATCTACAGATCTCCACAGGCTAACAGATCTTTTCAGTACTAAAAAATGAAGTTTACACATGGAATGAACAAAAAAAATCAAATTCTCCATGAAGCTGAGCCAATTCACAGGTAGCCAAAAGTATCTGCTGTCTTCTGGATTTCTGTCCATGTGGGGTCTCTGATGCATAAATTCGGGTAAAATGGTGAGGTAGCCTTTCCCTCAGTGGTGTCATTAAAAGAGTTTTTCTCCTTTAAAGAGCTGCCCACTTCCACGAAACATGTGGAAGCTTTGGTATCTTGGACACTTTTACCCATCAAAGTTGGCTGAAAGTGGCTATACTCAAAAGATTAAAGGAATTGGAGACAGGTATGCAAACAGAGGGGTTTCCAGAAATCTCATTTCCATGGGGAGCTGCACCTGGGGGATACATATGGATGTGGGCAGACTCAGAGAGGTATTTTGGAAAAGTTCTGTCCCTCTACAGTCTCCCAAGCCCTCCTTTGTGGAAATCAAACCGTATCAAAATGCAAGCACACAGAGGCATGTTTCTGCCCACACTCAATTGCTGTATAGATTTTTTTAAGTAGAGGCACTTCTAGAAAAGCCAGACCCCAATTAAACTAAATAAAATTGGACTCCTAAAAGCTTGTTTTGTTTTCATGTACATCGGCATATCCGAGCTGACACAAACGCATGCACTACAATCTAGAGGACTATCTCAATTTCCCTAACTTTCAGACAGAATATAGCAGTGAAACCAAAATATCAGTTCCTTGGAAACAAACAAACAAAAAAAAAAGCAGTATTCTATCCATAAGCAACAGTCAGTCTAAAGCTTCAGAAGAAATATAGGCAGTAACACAGTCTTACCTGCACAAGCCTGTAATATCAGCCTTTGAGGGTTTTTTTGCATCTACTCTGTAACGATGCATTTTTAAAAATACAGTTCTAGCGCTCAGGAATGCCAAGAATTTAGGAAGAGAGCCACAGCTTAAGAGAGCAATTATTTGCCAGTAAATACTCAATTTGCTTGTCCTGTGATTTTTCTTCTCCTAACTCGCCCTCTCCATAATCCGTCTCTTGCTGCGTCATGAGCACAAGAAGTCTTTTCTTCATAACATAACACTTCACTTAGCTATTTTGTTAGCATTAATTAAGAATTCGCTCCTCTGGTCATTTTCTATACTCTTACAAACAGCACCTTGAGCCCCGGACATTAGAAGGCAGTGAGTCAGTGTGTGGGATTCAGCCACCGTTTATAAACACCTTCAACCACATTCACCCAGTTTACAATATTCAGGACATCTCAGCTGAATTACTGCTTTGTGTCCAGTCTGCATTCAGATGGGGGCCATATGTTCCTCCATGTATTAGAGCAGAGCTCATTAGCACTGCTGCAGTCAAGCCACAGCAAACATTTTTTTTTCCCTATCTTGCCTCCATTTTAACCTGATTAAAAACATTTTCTCCAGGGTAGATTTCTGGAAAAGAAGTACTCAAGTCAAAAGTACTGTTAAAATGGATATGTGTAAATTTAAAATTACTTTTAAAATTAGTAGTTGCTTTTACTGCAAAAGAACTCAGCTGCACTTTAGGATTAAACTAATTAGTAAAAGCACCTTTCAAAAGCACGGAAAAACCTTCACAAAAACTGTTACAGTAACCACAAGAGCTAAATATTCGGTGAGCACCAGGACCTAGAAAAATTCAGTATTCAAGCTCTCTGAAGGATTTAGGCACATAACCTATTTTTAAAGAGGGTATGCATCTGTGCAGGCAGCATCATACAACTAGATTAACACCTTGCAATAATGGGGAGAGTGGGTGTAGTTAAAAATCTGGATGTGCAAATTGTATTTCCTAAGAAATTTTGTGTAGGCAAGCCCCATTCTGCTCAATCAATAGTAGGCTGAGAAATACTATATTTGGCAAAAATTAATAAAATACAGAAGGAGTAACTTGAATCACCCACATTAATTGCTAAATGAAAATCCAGGTTCTGAAATACAAAACAAGAACACACTTGTAGGGAGCAGCAGGGAAAAAAAAAAAAGACCCACTTGGGACTGAAAGGCATGAAAAAGATTCCATTTACATCCATTTTAAGATAGAAATGGATCACCTTTCAAAGTCAGTTTGGGTCTGGTTACTTCTTACATGAGTGAAAACAACTGGTGGGCCAAAGACTGATGATTAACATCACGTTGTGGACACTTTACTACATTTAGAATTGCCATGTGTGTTTTATATGATGTAGTGATATTGCAGAAAAACATTTTCCACATATTCTAGCCATAAGATGATAAAATGCAACAATAATCCCTTGCATACAAACATGCACTCTAAAATAACACATTCTGAGCATGAACGGCACCAGAGCTATCAAACATTCTTAATAAAAGGCATTTATTTTGTGCAAATAATGCATTTATTTTGCGTGTGTCCCATGTATCAGACAGTAAAGAGCAACAAGCGAATAACATGCTTAAGCAATCCAGGCATCTCCGAGATTATTGTACACACATCTCAAAGTGCCATATGCCCAAATTGATTGTTATTTTACATCAGAAATTATTCAACTTTCCTCTCCAAACACACCTGCCTAACTGTAAAGAGATCTCTGAGCTCTGAGACCACTTTCTGCACATTTAACAAAAGTGAAATAGGATGACAGAATAAATAGCATGTGAAAGGTCAAAAATAAACAGACACACATACAAAACACTAAAACCCCGCTGCTCCGTTCTTCCCTAAGCATGACTTGCCTGTGAACATTCTAAAAACATAAAATACACCTGATGGTTAATACTCCTAAAAGCAGGAGAACTTCTAGGTGTCCACTTAGGACCCATCACTTATCCATGGACAGAAAAAAGACAGTTTTCCTTGGTTTCAATAAGATGACAGTGGACCTGTGCTCCAATGGGAAAGTCTTGGAAAACACATTCAGCTTTGGTTGAATGGACTTACATACTAACTGTGTGCAAGACAAACGGATGGTTTTCCCTTAGGCTTTAACTTAAACTGACAAAGTAGATCAGAATTAGATCTAGCTATTGTCTAGTGTATGCTATGTATAATTTAAGGAGAGCAGAAAAGAGTAGATGAGTCTTAGGAGGTACTTTCAGGTCAATTTTTTTTTCAATATTTATGTGAGAAACTGAAAATGCAACTTTGAATCAACTTTAAACAAAATGAAAGTACGTTAGAGAAAATGAAAGTACATTAATGAAAATGAAAGTGACAAATGCAATTCTGTTAAGGCTTAGAAGTGAAAAAATAAAAAGCATGAAGAAAAATAAATTCGATTTTTATAAACAACTGTAAGCAATCAGAGTTCGTTGTAAAATTCCATAATAAATAATTCTTTCTGAAAAAAAGAGGACAAGGGTTTCCTAATTTTTGTTGTCTTAAAGTACGTATTTTCACACTAATATACTAATTTGTCT